TTCTTTCTTTTCTTTCGTCTTTCTCTCTCTCTCTTTCTTTCTTTTCTTTCTTTCTTTCCTTTCTTTCTTTTTTGAGACAAAATCTTGCTCTGTCACCAGGCTGGAGTGCAGTGGCATGATCTCGGCTCACTGCAACCTCCGCCTCCTAGGTTCAAGTGATTCTCCTGCTTCAGCCTCCCAAGTAGCTGGGGATTACAGGCACTTGCCACTACGCCCAGCTAATTTTCGTATTTTTGGTAGAGACAGGGTTTTACCATGTTGGCCAGGATGGTCTTGACCTCTTGACCTTACTGCAACGAAGTTTTATTTCTTGCCCCCAAATAATGCCTGAATCCAAAGGTACATAAAAATACCTTGTGATCTGCCTGCCTCGGCCTCCCAAACTGCTGGGATTACAGGCATGAGTCACTGTGCCAGGCCCATTTTAACTATTTTTAAGTATACAATTCAGTGACATTAAGTACATTCACAAAGTAGTGTAATCATCACCACTTCCTATTTCCAGAACTTTTTCTTTTCTTTTCTTTCTTTTTTTTTTTAAGATGGGGTTTCACCATGTTGGTCAGGCTGGTCTTGAACTCCCAACCTCAGGTGATCCACCCACCTTGGCCTCCAAAGTGCTTGGATTATAAGCGTGAGCAACCACGCCCGACCCAGAACTTTTTCATCATCCCAAACAGAAACTCTGTACTCATTAAACAACATTCCCATTTTCCCCTTCCCTTGGCCTCTGGTAACCTCTATTTATTTTACTTTCTGTCTCTATGAATTTACCTATTCTAGATACTTCATATGAGTATGAGCGGAATCATATTATATATCTATATTTGTTGTTATTGTTGTTGAGACAGAGTCTTGCTCTGTCTCCCAAGATGGAGTACAATGGCAGGATCATAGCTCACTGCAGCCTCAACCTCCCAGGCTCAAGTGATCCCCCCACCTCAGCCTTCTGAGCAGCTAGGACTACAGGCACATACCACCACACCTGGCTAATTAAAAAAATTTTTTTGTAGAGATAGTGAAATGGGAAAGGTTCCCTTATCCCTCTCACACGCGTGCAATGGGGGTGTGGCTCGCTTCTTCAGTGCCCTGCTGCACAAACCTCTAGGGGAGCATACAGATGGGCAGGCTGTGGGGCTCTGACCCTACCACGGTGTCTAGGTGTGAATGTTTACAGCTGAAGCCGCAGTTGGGGTATGTTGCAGGGAGCTCTTTTAGGTTGCTGTCTATAGGTGGCTTGTGTTAACCAGCTCAATTAAACCCCCTTCCTTATCACAAGGACCGTGGGATTTCTGTATCCTGGGGTTTCTTGCCTCGGTGTACCTGGAAGAATTGGATCATGTGGGCTTGGAGGATGATTGCAAGGTTTTATTTAGTAGAAGTAGCTCTCAGCAGATAAGCCAGAAGGAAAATGGTTTTCCCCGGGAAATATTCTTACCATGTTCATCAACATGATGAAACCCTGTCTCTACTAAAAATATTTTAAAACTTAGCTGGGTATGGTGGCAGGTGCCTGTAATCTCAGCCACTCGGGAGGCTGAGGCAGGAGAATCGCTTAAATCCAGGAGGCGGAGGTTGCAGTGAGCGTAGATGGTGCCATTGCACCCCCAGCCTGGGTAACAGAGCAAAACTCCATCTCAACAACTACAAAAAGAAGTATCTTTTTATTAATATCTTTGAGCTTGACTTAACTTCCATAAAACAAGAACTAGAACATTTCTCTGGTGTAGGTCTTTGATCCCAGAATTTCCTTTTACTTAGGGACAGACCCATGACTACATGGTCCTACCATGTCCCAGAGGAAATAACTTAGTGTCAACTCAAATCTTTAATTTCACACATTGGGAAACATAGGTCAGAAAAAGAAAAAAAAGTTGTTCCAAAATCACTCAGTGAATAAGAATTTCCCCTGAGTTACTAGTCCCCTCCCTCCAATGTCAATTTCTGACAGTTTCTCAATGGCAGTTTGGCTCTCATGTGAGGAAGATAATTTGGGGCCCCCCAGAAAACCTGCCTCACACTGGAGCTGCTTTGGGCTGATATTCTGAACTGACTCATTCCACTCTAAGATTTGCATTGGTCGGCTGGGCGCGGTGGCTCACACCTGTAATCCCAGCACTTTGGGAGGCTGAGGCTGGCAGATCACGAAGTCAGGAGTTCAAGACTAGCCTGGCCAGCATGGCAAAACCCCATCTTTACTAAAAGTACAAAACTTAGCCAGGCGTAGTGGCAGGCGCCTGTAATGCCAGCTACTTAGGAGGCTGAGGCAGGAGAATCGCTTGAATCTGAGAGGTGGAGGTTGTAGTGAGCCAAGATGGAGCCACAGCACTCCAGCCTGTGTGATGAGAGTATGAGACTTCATCTCAAAAAAGAAAATTTTTTTTGCACTGGCTTCTAAGATGGACCTAGCCCTTCCTTCTCCATGCCCACTGCCATGACCCTCTAAGATACTTCTCTCTATGGGGTCATCTACAGCATCCTCCTTCTGGCCTTCCGTTTCAACCCAAACCAGATACCACCACAGCACTCTTTCTTTATTAAACACTAAATTATTACAAAAATAGATACATAAAAAAGCATAGTTCATACAACATCGCACTCATTAGGATGGCTGTAATAAAAGAGACACAATGAGGGAGGATGAGGCGGGAGAATTGCTTGCAGGAGGTGGAGGCTGCAGTGAGCCAAGATCATGCCACTGCTCTTCAACCTGGG